CAGGGGCGAGATCAAAACAAAACAACGGTCACGAATTAGAAGTACAAATTGAGGATTTGTAAAGAAGAATCTTGGAGGATTTCTATATAAGCCAAGAGGAGACTGGTTTTCCTTTGCTAAAGTAAGGAAACTTTGCTTCCTTTTCTCCTATAAACAAACGTTGGTTTTCACGAGACTCACCGGCCCATGCGCAGTGCTGAACTCATACGTCATCCTCCCGGAGCTGCTTCCGTGTACAACAGTGAGCGCAAGCTACATTAAAGTGATTATTACGTTTTTTAATATGGATATTTTTCTTACAAAAAGGCATCAATTCGCTATACAGGAGGCCTTTGTTCACCCCCCGGAGCCGTGTGAGACACTTTTTTTATGGATGGGCGCTTTTTATTTAACTTCTTTTGGACTGATGCATGCAACACCCGCTGAGTGGCATTAAACAGCTTGGAAGATCAAAGACAATTTTAATATAACTCCGACTGGATTCGTCTGAAAGAAGAAAGTCATATACACCTAGGATGACTTGACGGTGAGTAATTTATGGGCTAATTTTCATTTTTGGGTGAACTAACCCTTTAATAGCACAATAGCCAAAATGACTTATATCAACTATTGTTCATTTGACAGTTGTTATTTTAATGTTGTGTTCAGATCTGTCTTCTGTCGCTGGCGGTCTGGGTTCGGTTCTGCTGGTTCTGGTTCTGTGTTCTGGAACATTCCTCATCCTGAAAAAGAGGAAGAGGAAATCTGGGACAGGTAACAGTTTATTTGTGATTATAAAGTCCTTTTTGAGTGTTTGAGTTGATTTAACTTTGTCTTTTTCTCTCTTTTCATGCTCCATTCAGCTTTATTTCAGCAAAATGTGCAGTACAATACGGAGGTGGGTGATCAAATCTTTACCTGTAGAAGATCAGAAATGATTATCAGTATTATCTATATAAGCTAGTAAATTATTGATGTATATGTTGTTTTTCAGAGTGTCCACATGTATGAGATTGCAATCAGTGACACTGGACCATCTGATGTCATCGCTGCAACATCTTCATCCAATCAGACGCCTGCATCGCACCTCAACACCCGCCCACAAGTCTCTGCTGTTTATGCTACAGTAACCAATCAGCAGCCTGATTCAAACCCCAGTCGCATCCACTCAGCCAATCAGGTGACGGATACCGACTGTGATTATTATGCCAATATGAAGTCACCTGAACCAACAACAGACTGCAGAACAGAACTGATTTACGCAACAGCGACACATCCGCAAAACGTCAAGACAAACGACGGCCCGATATATTCAATGATCAAACATAAATAAAAAAAGAGAAAAACGTTCTTCCAAAGACATCTGCACTGATGTTCCAAGTGAAAAAAAAAACTGGTACATGCTACATATTTTTAATGAATCAATATGTTGACACACTTTTCTGAGTTGTTATCAGTATTTTAAAAACTATGTAATTTTACTAACAAGAAAAGTGAACTTAAGTATTCTTTGTAAATTATTCTTAGTAAATCTCATTTACAGTTAAATAAGATGAAAATGTAAATATATTGTGGATAAGCTTAAAACGTTTTAGGCACCGTTCTCACAGGTGTATTATACAGGTCTGTATTAAGCACTGTTCACTTGTGCTCGGATCAATGAAAACATCTTAATACCAGTTGTAAACAGGGCCTGAAATCGGCTCCAAACTAACGGCCCTGCTATAATAAACAACAGAAACCATCACAGAAATTCGAATGGTTTCCTCTACAAATACCATTACAAACATTACAAGCCATGAACTATTAACCATTAAAACCATTACAAAATGGTTTCCTGTAGTGTGTTTTGGGAGATATTCCATTAGGATGTAATGATTTTAACAAGCCACTAATAAAAGTTGACAAATTACCTGTAGAGACCCACAGAGACCATTACAGTTTCCATTAAAACCAATACAAGTCCCATTATAACCAGTAAAACCATTACAAATTCTGTGATGGTTTCTATTGGGGTTTTTTCAGCAGGGGGTGAACTCATGAAAAATGGACTATAACTATTGAAGGTTAACTTGATGAAACTGAGAGCAGTTACGGAAGCTAAAATCTTGAATTTGATCAAATATACACTCATGAATGCAATTGCTGTGCTGTTTAGGTCTGTATAATAAATGGACAGAAGGTCAGTGTCATTGTGAAGATGTCGTGTAAAGCTGGATGTGGTTAGAGAGACAGAAAGGGAAGGAAATATGATGCTGCATTTCTTCACTCAGTACGGAGGAGAAAGACTGTAACGTTTGTCACAGAATTTGGTCTCATATTTCAGTAAAATGTTCAGCATGTGTGTCGTTCTGCTCGTCTTTTCCAGCATCTCTACAGGTGAGTTCAAGACTCCGAGGTCTTTTGTACAGAGTTGTACATGTTTTCATGTTTTTTTTTATTACTGCATGATGATTTGATGCTTATATTTGCACATTATTATTCAGTTCTAATACCTATTTCTCACACATAACAGCTCTATATAATGATATTTCTGTTTTCAGCTGTTGTTGGTGATCCAGAAACAGTCATAGGACACAGAGGAGAGAGAGTTGACATCAGATGCAGATATGAAGCTGGATATGAATCAGATTCAAAGTATTTTTGTAAAGGAGCGTGTATCTTTGGATTTAGAAAAATCATGGTGAAATCGGGATCTTCAGCTGAAGACGAGAGATTCTCTCTGACTGACGACACGACGGCCAGAGTTTTCACCGTCAGCATCACTGATCTGAGAACAGAGGATACAGGACGATACTGGTGTGCTGTGGAGAGGCCTTTAACTGATGTCTATTCAGAGATTATGTTGATTGTTAAAGGTAAGTGGTAGGTAAGTGTTTTTTTTATTAGCTGTTGTTTAAATTAACTGCATGGAAATAAGCCGAGAGCAATCATTTAGTCTTTAAGTCTTGTAAGCTGCCTGCTTAGATTTGAATGTGTTGATTATAAAATACAGCAATAATACAGCCACTAGTGTGCATTATAGTGATCTTACCACAGTTAAGGGGTTTTATTCATGCAACACAAAACAGTACTAAAAACAGATTAAATGGATGAAAATATAATAAGATAATAAGACCACTGAGGTTTCAACCATCAACACTTTTACAAACACACTGTCATATTTCAATACAACAGAGCAGAATCAACAATCCACCAGCATCACAATCACAGAAAGAAAAGAAAAAACAATCACAGATCAGTACAGCTCCTCAACAGGGCAGTTCATCAGTTCATCAATGTGATGATCTATAAGTAATTTTAAAGGATGTTAAATGTGTGTAACAGGTGATGTCTTGCACACAAAGTCTGTCGTCTACGTCTCTGTGGGGTTAGTCATCGTGATGATCATCTTCCTCTCTGCACTGATGGTGTTGTGTAGGAAGAGAAACAAGAAATCACCAAGAGTTACACAATCGGGGCTTTCACCGCAAGGTCAGATTTAGAAACTAAACACACAGG